AAAAAATGTATTAACCTAGTAAAATATTCTTGCATGATGAGGAATTTAATTAATCAAATATAGTGATGACTCTTGATGAATTATTTTCCACATCATGCCAGAATATTCAAGCCAAGACCGGCTCACCACCGTTTCACAGAGCAGGACGTGAAATAAATGGGGCTGAGTTTTTAGGGGGCAGATTATAGTTCAGTCTTACCAAGAAATGTTTGATAATGGAACCAATTCTTCAGATAGAAGGATGGTTTCTCCTTCATTCTGCTTAAATGTTTCCTATGTTCTCTCATCTATCATTACTAAATTACACAGAGCAACAATGTGTCAGATTACAGACCAGCAAATATGGCTGATATCTGAAAAAGGTTTGGTAACATGCAATCCTTAGTTGAAAGCTTTTTAAAAAGGTTTGATGAAATGATAATGGCTGTGGAAAATATTCAAATGCATGTAGCTGTGGATAAATTAGATTCACAAGAGGAATGCAATTTGAAAGCAGAAGATTAGAAAGAAATGTGGGCTGTACAGACTGAGGACTAGCTGATTGCACACACCTCCATGAAGTTCAAGACTTAATTCTTTTACAACAGCAAACCTACCTGAGGGGAGAAGTGATAAATTGGTTTTTTATAGGAGGATTGAACATCTTTTTTACATCGTGGTGACCAAAACTGTATGCAGTATTCTAAGTGTGGCGTTACCAAGGCCTTGTAAAGTGGTATTAATACTTCACGTGATCTTGATTCTATCCCTCTGTTAATGCAGCCTAGCACTGTGTTGCCCTTTTTGGCAGCTGCAGCACACAGCTGGCTCATATTCAAGTGATTGTCCACTAAGACTCCAAGGTCCCTCTCACAGTTACTAAAATTGAGCAAGGTACCCCCTATAGTATACCTGTGCATTTGGTTTTTCTTGCCTAAATGTAGAACCTTACTTTTTTCACTATTGAATTTCATTTTGTTACATAGTGCCCAGTGTTCAAGTCTGTCCAGATCCTTTTGTATCTTAAGCCTGTCTTCTGAAGTGTTGGCTATTCCTGCGTGTCGTCTGCAAATTTGATGATTTCCCCATCTACCCCCTCGTCCAAATTGTTGATGAAGATGTTGAAGAGCACTGGGCCCAGAACAGAGCCCTGGCGCACCCCACTACATACTTCCCTCTATGTAGATGCGGTTCCATCGAGGACCACACGCTCAGTACGGCTGGTCAGCCAGCCACACTTGGAATATTGCATCCAGTTTTGGTCACCATGATGTAAAAAAGATATTGAGACTCTAGAAAGAGTACAGAGAAGAGCAACAAAGATGATTAGGGGACTGGAGGCTAAAACATATAAGGAACGGTTGCTGGAATTGAGTATGTCTAGTTTAATGAAGAGAAGGATGAGAGGGGACATGATAGCAGTATTCCAATATCTCAGGAGCTGCCCCAAAGGAGAGGGAGTCAAGCTATTCTCCAAAGCGCCTGAAGGCAGGACAAGAAGCAACAGAT